AAGAGGTGGGATAATGGTGAGTCAGGGGGGTCAGGTAATAAAAGCGAGTGTGAAAAGGTGGGTTTTGAGGGCAGATTTGAAACTGATGAGGTCCGGGAATTCACAGATGTGTTTAGGGAGGGCGTTCCAGAGGGTGGGGGCAGAGACGCTGAAGGCCCGGTCCCCCAGGGTATGGTGCTTGGTTTTGGCTGGGGGTGAGAGGAGGTTTGCATCAGCTGAGTGGAGGGGGCGGTTCGGGGTGCATCAACATATGCCCTTTCTTATGATTTAAGCTCAGTCATTAACAAATGTTGCTTCCTTAATTTCTGCTGCTGCTTGCTGGCTGGAAATGAAATAAAAATCCCTCTTGTACATACCTTTATAGTTTCCCATTGGAGGGCGGGGTTATCTGTGGATTGGGAGTTAATAGAAAGGAAATATCTAAACTCAATATTAAAATAGGATATGAAGGTATGGTTCTTTAAAATAGTTGTATTCAGTCTCCAATATTCAACTCTGTTTCCTGCACTCTCAAGAGAGAGATCCAGCACCTATTACACATACTTACACTGAATGCAAGGAAAGCCCAGGTAAAAAAAAAAAAAAAGAAATCAATCTTAGTATGACGCCTATGAGGTGCAGAAAAAAATGTATTCTCTATCCAAAAGATGAATTGTCCTCCGTACATCAAGAAATCCTAAATCTTTGCATAAAGAATTGAGTGGTGAGAGAAGAGAGAGGTGAGGCTTTGTGGGGGAGTGTGTCAATAAGGGGATTCAGCATACAATTAAAATATCCACCCACTATGGAAATATCTGAGTGAATCTCAGAGAAATCTAAGACTACTTTTGATATAAACTCTGATGGATGAGCAGGGGGGTAATAAACATTCAGTAGAGAAATAACTGTACCTAGCTAAATCCAATACATCAGACTTCAAATACAGCACTGAGTCCCGCCACATCCAGAAATATTCAGATGACATCACTATTGTGGCATGTATCAGAAATGGACAAGAAGCTGAATACAGAGATCTGATAAGAGCCTTCAGTGACTGGAGTCACAAAAACTGCCTCCTCCTCAACACCTCGCAGACAAAGGAGATGGTCATAGACTTCCGTAGATCCAAACCCTCTCTTCAGCCAGTGAACACCTGTGGAGTGGACATCAAAGTGATGACATCAAATAATACCTAAGTGTACATCTAGATAATAAGATGGACTGGTCTAAGAATATAGACTTCATCTACAGAATGGGGCAGAGCCGCCTCTTTTGCCTGAGAAGACTCCCATCAATAGACATCTGTAGTAAGATGCTGTAGATGTTTTATCAGTCTGTGGTGGCAAGTGTTCTGTTCTACGCTGCAGTCTGCTGGGGAGGAAGCGGCAAACAAAAAGATGCAAGACGTCTCAACAAACTGGTGAAAAAGGCTGGCTCTGTGGTAGGAGTCAAGCTGGACTCAGTGGAGGATGTGGTGAAGAGATCTACACTGAGGAAGGTGGAGTCTGTTCTAAAGAACATGGATCACCCACTTCACAACACCTTGATGGACCAAAGGGCCAATGGTGGTGGACGGCTCCTCTCTCTTCGCTGCAGGACAGAAAGATTCAGAAGATCTTTTGTACTAACAGCCATTAGACTTTATAACTCTTGCGTAAATAGTGAATAACTATTTGAGACATACTATGTGAGACAACAGACAATTGAATTTCCATTCGGGGATTAATGAAGTTATTCTTATTTTTCTTATTCTTATTCTTACGAAGATTGCATAGTTCACCCGGGGGGATCGGCTGTTTGAGCCGAGCATCATCACAGCAACTCTCAGCGACTCTCCTGCCGAATGCGTACAATGCTACTGCACAAGTGGTGGAGTGCGTACAATGCTACTGCACAATGTTGGTTTCAGGAAGTGGAAAAAAAATCACAAAAATACTGAGAGCGTTTCAGCTTCAAATCTGTTAATTTTAATTTTAGCTTTTATCATGCCCCGATAGACATAAATGGTCAAGAGCTGAATAGCTCCTATGTTACCTGCCACTTCTGCTGCACTGGCAATGATAGGCTACAAGCTAGCGTGAAGAGGACTGTGCAGAGCAGCCTTGTCTCCGCCCATGACTCAGAGGTGAATTGCGAATGAGCTACTAGAGCTCTGCAGAAGAAAAGCTCTTGAAAGTGACAAAGGTAATGTGACTTTAGCTAAAAACTTTATAATCACAATTTAGAGACCACTGAAAAGACTTTAAATAGTAAAAACAATTACCAAAGTGGGACTTCAACAACTACCATTCAATGACTGACCAGTCATTTTATGTGTATATTTTTTAACCTTAAAAACAACAGATTTCCCTTTTTGTACAACCTCTGCATCAGATTGGAATTCAGTCAAATTCAATGTAGAATATTGATGCAACAGGCTTGTTTGATCCAGCCAAGAGCCTTCTCCTGACCACTGTAAGGCACTCTTGACCACAGTAAATTACTACCGTGATCATTCTCAACACAAATGGAGGCCTTGTGTTCATATCAAAGCTGTGCCGAGTGGTATGGTCTCAGACGCCAAGACATCTGAGAAGCACCTTGTGGAAGCTTTCTGGGTTTTACACCTCAGAGAGCAAGATAACATAACAAAGACAAATGTGTGTTCACTTTGAACAAAGGAACTCTTCAATACCTACAAACCTTACAAAGGAACTTAGGAGGCACCACAGCAAACAAGCAATGACTGCAGGTTATAAAAGGAGAGCTCCACTCAGTCCTGATCAGATCACACTTGTGCTCCTGGGGAGTAATGTGAAGAGAGCAATCAGGCTGTTTGGAACTTCATCAGGCAGTTTGGATCTCCACCAGGCTTTTTAGATCTCCATCATTGTTACTGGTTTGATGCAAATATTGTTCAAGTTAAAGTTCTTTCTTCTTTTGTCAAATCTGACCGTTTCTATGCATGTAGGTGTTTTATTCTCAAGCCTTAGTGGGCTGGTAATTTCATTTTGATGGAACACTGCAGTATTTTTGCAGCATGCCAAAAGAAACTGTCTTTCCCCTTTTCCTTTACATTACTGACCCAATACGAAAGAGGGGTCACATAAACAAAAAGATGTGTTTGCAGAGTGCAGTGCAGGTGTGCAAGGGATTGTATGAAGGATCAATGCTTAAGGTGCACTGTCTTAATGAAGCGGTTTGTTGGTGCAAAGTAAATTCCTCGAAAGGAAGGGCAGCTGCTGTTTTCAAAACTGAATAACTGCTCATGTCTTTTAACCTTAGAAAAGGAGGCCAGCCAAAATGTCCAATTTTAATGTAAAAAGGGGGTTTGGTCCAGATTTTAATATCATCCTTCACATAAAAAAGTTCCCCGCTCAAGCAGTGTTTTGGAAATTTTCTGTTTCTTTTTCTTTGTAAATTTATTCTTGCAAGGAGAGCCTCACAACAACAGTCTTCGTAAACAGTCAGGAGGCTCTATTTTCATGCCCACATGTGGCGCTGCGGAGGATGGCACACCCCACGCAATAATATTTTCGTCCAGCAGAGCACGGTGTGCAGCCAGTTTGGCATTTGGTAGAGTGAGGGGGAACCGAGGTCCACCAAGTGTGGCGGCGTGGTGGGGGTGGTGTTGACAGAATCAGCGGTGGTGTAGAAAGTGCACTAAAATCTCACTGATTCAAACCTGGTCAGCTTTCGGTTCAGGTGGAACGGAGATGGTCTGGTGGTATTTTGGTAGACCAGCGGAGCAGTGCGCACACGTCACCAATGCCTCACAAGCAGTTTCCACAGTGTCAGGCACATTCCGGTTGTAGGGATTTGAATTCAGAATAAATGTCCAAAATTAATCAAATTAAATTATTAAATTCCTCAGGTCAGGACTCAGCTGTCCACCTTCACTTAAAGGACACTGGTCACTCTTTCGAGGACAGCAATATACAGGTGTTGGCTCGAGGAGACAGATGGTTTGAAAGAGGAGTTAAAGAAGCCATCTTTACCAGGCTGGAGAAACCTTCTCTGAACGAAGGGGGTGGACACAGGCACAATCTCTCTGGCACTTACAATGCAGTTCTCAGCTCTCTCCCCAGGAAGCTCCACAAACATTCACACCTGGAACCACATGACCCAGGTGGCATGAGTCATGTGGTCACATGACAGGAGTCTTTAACGACCCTTTCAGGTTAACGACTTGGGGGGGGGGGGAAGAAATGCACATGATTAAATACACATTTGGTTCTGACCAAACCATATTCAGGCAACACCACTAGGAGGAGCTCTTGGTCCATGGAAAACCTGGAATAAATTTGTGAAGTTAACAGTTTGGCTTGTAGATATGCTAGAAACCTTGGAAAAAGATCATTTCATTGATGATGTGGTGTACAGATAGAAAATCCTGGTGAAGTGTCCATTAAACCTGAAGTTAAACCATTTTCAGTCATCCTCTTCCTCCTGCACCTTAAAGAGAGCCATGGAAAAACACAGTCATTCAGAGGATTTATGGTAGGGGTCTGTTCCACGGATTGGCGCCAAAATGCAGCCTTGGAAAATGTTCTCATGCTCTTTTTGGGTCACTCCTTAAGCTGAGGTGTCAATTATGACCTTTTCCAGCCAAGGTGAGAGGCTCCATTTTTATTCGGTCTGGGGGTCATGTGGTTGATAAGCAACTTGTCTCCTTGAAGCGTGAAGATTCACTATCAACCTTTTGGGAGAGGCCCCCTTTTGGTTCTGTCCTGGATCGTAAACGGCCCTAAATTAAGTGTGAAACGTTACCCCCATTTCCTCCCCTAATCAGGGAAGCCGGCATTCCTTTGAGGGGTGAATTAAAGGTGGACAGGGCAGAAAACAGTCGTCTTGTTACAAATCCCCCCTTCGTCTCGATGGCAACTTCAGGAGCCATTGGGACGACGAGATGAGACAACCACGTCGAAGCGGCAGTTAGTCCAAGGAGGGTGATGCGTCTCGTTCAGAACTAGTTACTTAGTGAGATCTATTGTACATGTTAAGCCTACTAAATATATGCGTGCAGGGTTACAGGAAACTGACTACACCTCGAGCATGTGGCTCACCTGGTCTTCCTCTGGCTCCTCAACTCCCTGCTCCGTTTCTGGTTGTCTACGGAGTCGTAACCTAGTGACACATTGGTCTATTTTGTACTGAAGGGACCTACCACGTTTGACGTAGATGAAGGTTAACCCAAAGGTCAGGAGGTACCCTAACCCTATGGCGACTGCTAGCAAGGTGTCTGGAGTGGACCAGACATAGCCTATGGGTTGCAGCAGGGACTTCTCTTGTGATCTTATGTCTATAAGGACGTCATCAACAGGCGTTAGGTCAATGGTCTGAGTACCTGCATATTGGATCTGAGAAATGGTGCTTGGATCTAACTGGAGCATATGCTTGCTGAAAAATGCTGGCACTTCAATCTCTGTTTCAATTTGATCAGGGTTGAGGTAATAGAGGGCAATGTCAAATGTGTGTGGCAGTGTCGTGTTGGTCATAATTTACAATGGCAGTCTTAGTGGGGGTGTTGACTAACCAACGGTGACCCACCCTTTCTGCCTGTGTTACAGTCACTTGTGAGCGGTGTCTTGCTGTGGTAGGGCATTGGGTGTCGGGCACCATGGATGCAAGACCGCAGAGGCCGTTGGTACTATCCCACACAAATGGTTTACTGGGGCAGAGGTAGTGTATGTCTTTGGTTCGCGTGCACATACGCAAGTTAGGAGCTAGATACAGATCAGGACTGCTGTCGTGGTAAGCGACCACTGGTGGGGTCTGAATTTGGAGGTGTGTGTCCCCTTTCCAAAAACCGACATTGACTACATCCTTTAACCTATAGATGCTTCCTGATGCTATAATTGGCAAGTTGATAAGGAAAGCAATTTCTCGATCTTCGGGATTAACGTAAATCAGCACCGCGCTACCTAGGGTGTACGCGAGGTGGGCTTGGAAAGGAGTGATGGCCTCTCTGGTTGCAGTTGATAGTAAATCCTGGACTAATGAGAGAGGTACCAAATACGGAGGGATCCGCCCTGCCGCCAGGCTGTCTATTGATGATGAGATTTCTTGCAACATGTCTGACATGAGCATATTCAACAGCATTGTGTGAGCATAGTCGACCTGGACCACCGACAACAAGGAATTTACAGCACGCAGCGTCTTGTTCAGGACTTCTGTGTGGGTGTTAACTACCAGGACGGTGCCCTTGAGTGTTTGACCGATAGTCTGCAGTTGTGTCTGCTGTCTGCTTATCTGAGCCCTGATGTCTGTAATTTCGGCTTCTAGCTCACCCACATGGCGTTTGACAGTAGCTAAGCTAATTGCATTAACAGAGGAGAGCCCAATACCAAAAAGAGAGCCAACAGCCGAGGCTGCGGTGAGCAGCACTCCGATAAAACGTTTGGACCTCCTGTTGGTACCACTTAACTCTGTTTGGGTGACAGTGAATTTCTGAAGCTGCTCTAACATGTAAGTAATATCCAACTCTGCCTGATTCATGACTTCCTTACTCCAATATGTCCCGGCCCAACTGGTCAGCTGAGCTGTTACTGGAACAATTTTCTTGAGGACTTCCTTAGGGTTGAGCCTGACAAACAGCTTCTGTGTGTGCAGGCGACAGTCCATTATCAGGAGTCCAGGCTGATCCCTTAAAACAATTCCAGAGTCCGGTCCTGGCTCTACGATCTCGGGGCTAGCTGGAGCAGCTACCAAGCCGAGAATCAGGAGCGCTATCAGCCAAATCATCCTGGGGAAGAGGGTGGACATCTTTAGGATGAGTTGGTATTAGACAATCTAAAATTCAAATGGTCCCTATCACTTTATCTACTCCTCCCCCCTTTGTGACCCAAAGTGTGCCCGAGGGCAACTCGGTGACAACAATTCAACACCAATACAGACGTACAAATAGGACAAACTTCACGTAGACACAATATATCAAAGGACTAGGGGACCTGACGTTAATCAGGAGAGCTTGGAACTGTTCTAGTTTATGACTCAAGGGTGGCGCTGGAGGCCCCGACAAGTCCCATGGGGTTGTGGTGAAGTTTGATCTGGTTGCGGTGGACCCATTTAAGAGTCGGCTCTTTGTTGCCCTTTGTGATCTTGATTTGGTACACAACAGAAGAGAGCTTTTCAGTGATCAGGTAGGGGCCTGCCCAGCGGGGCAGGAACTTTCGTGCCAGTCTCCCAGACTTTGGGGCTTTGTCTCCAGTGGGCTGGGTGAACAGGTAGTACCACACCTTGTCACCCACCTGGAGTTCCTGTTGGGAGGCTTTTTGGTCATAATAGGACTTGCGTCCTTCTGCACTTTTACTGAGATGCTCTTGGGTAAAGGCAAAAGTTGCCTTCAGGTGCTGGTGTAGGTCAGTCATGTACTGATGAGTCGTGCAGGCCGTCGCAATACTGGCCTTACCTGGCTGATACAGCAGGTGTAGAGGCAGTGTCATCTGTCTGCCCGTCATCAGCTCGAAGGGTGAGAACCCTGTTGACTCGTGTGGAGTCGCTCTGATGGCCATCAAGACCAAGGGAAGCTTGATATCCCAGTACTTGTGGTTGGCCAACACATACTTTTTCAGTATGGTTACCACTGTTCGGTTTGCCCGTTCTACCTGTCCAGACGACTGGGGGTGGTGGCTGATGTGGAAGTTGGCTTTGACGCCCAACAGTTGCCACAGTTGGTGCACGACCTCTGATGTGAAGTGTGTCCCTCTGTCAGAGTCGACACGAATTGGGAGTCCGAACCGCGAAAAGATGTGGTTCATCAAGAGGTAGGCTGTGGTCTGAGCCGTATCATTTGGGGTTGGTAGGCATTCTACCCATTTGGTGAATGCACAGACAACTGTGAGGAAGTATTTGTTTCCTCTCGCTGACTTGGTGAGAGGACCCACCCAATTGATCTGGAGGTCTGACCAAGGAAAGGAGATACCTCTGCGCTGTAGAGGTGCTCAGTGAAGTGGATTTGCCGGTTGAAATTGGCAGCAAACCAGGCACCCTTTTATGTAGTCAGCTACATCTTTCTGCATGTGTGGCCAATAGGCCACCTGTTGGAGTGCATGGAGCATGGCTTTGTTTCCTCTGTGTCCTGCGCACGGTGTGTCATGGGCATATGTCAACATCACCCCCCTGTGGCTGCGAGGCACCACCAAGGCAGGCGATGTGAGTGCATCGGAGACATAAACCAGAAAGCCCTTGACGAGCCGCAGCGAACAGCGCACACAGAAAAGATGGCGCAGGTCAGGGATGGAGTTAAGTATGTCAGGAGACATGGAGGAGTTAGGAGGCCCCGAAAGGAATTGCGTCATGGCAGCAATGGCTGGGTCCGAAGACTGGAGCGCCAGCAAGTCAGAGTCAGAAAAGGCCGGAGCCACAGTGGCGGAGACCGGGCCCGAAGGAGCCGGACGAGGCGGAGCTCGAGACTGGGCTCTGGTGACAGCACAAACCAGGGGTACGGGTGGGAGGGGAAAAACAGAGGGCTCAAAGTGCCAGTTTGAGCCAGTTAAGGCTCCCTGCTTGGCCAAGGAGTCAGCCTGGTCATTAAACATCTTGTCTGGACCAGGAATACGAGAGTGCCCCCTGACTTTCTTCCAGTAGACCTGGAGATCATGTTTAGTGGTCAAGAAGTCGCACGCCAGGAACAGTTCTTTGTGTTTGACTGGCTTTCTGTTCAAGGTCAAGAAGCCGTTGCGTTTCCACGAAGGCAGATGGCATGAGAAGCTGAGTCGCGCATAGTTGGAGTCTGTACAGATCGTCAAGGCGTGGATTTTGTGTTCCACAGCAAGTTGCAAGACAATCAGAATGCCTGCCACTTCAGCAAACTGGGACATTTGGGCCCCTAGGTTGAAGCTGAGTGGTTCACACGGTTTGTTGTCGACCCAGATGACACCCATGCCTGCTCGGATAAAAGTGTCGTGATGGTATGAGCAGCCATCAACATAAGCTGTAATCATGTCTTTGCAGACATTGAGAGGCTCGATATTTGTACAGGAGTTTGCGAAGCTTTTCACACTCCTCTTCGCCGTTCAGGGCGTCTGCCTCGGCTAAGAGCGTTAACGTTGTTAATGGTATCAACTTGGACTGCCAACCTGACCAGTATATCACTTCCCATGTAGACATGATGTGGTAGGTCTGGGATGACCAAGAAGTGGTGAGTCATCTCCCTTTTGTTCCATCGCACAGTTAAGGCACAGGCGCCTTCAGCGGTCATGGTAGCTTGAGGAAGGGAGTCCAAGGGGAAGCGAAATGCTTTCCGAACACACTGAAGGTTTGGGTCATCCCTAGACAAGGTGTCATACAGTTCACCGCTGATGGCCCATTTGTCAGCCCAAATAGCCAAAATCACATCGTTGATGTGATTCTCATTCAACTTAACGCCATCAGTGATCAATGGCCCGGGGGTTTCAGGTCCATTGGTGTCGTCCAATTTGCACAAAAACATGTCTCTTTTCATGACTGAGTCATCGAAAGGCCACGAGCAATGTTGTGGCTCATCGTCAGACAAGTAGGGTTGCTCCGGTGAGCTTACACTTGCCGGTGTGCTTGTAGCAAGTTCACGCGTCAGGGCGTAACACTGAGCCTGATTTCTGTCGGTTGCTGGTATGGGTAATGGTCTGCGGACCTGTGCCCATATTTTCAGCTGTCGATAATCGATCAGGGGCTCAAACCGTTTTAAGAGGTCTTGACCAATGAGGAAAGGAATCGACTCAAGGGGTGACTGTTATGACCAGGGGTCATATGATTCCTGTTTTATTTTCATCAGCACATTTTGTTTGTGGGTAACCCTCCCTACCTGTGGTAGGTGCTGTTCCTGTGTCTGTTTTGTTTTCCAGGAGAGGACTCTGGCCTGATTGGACAGCAGCTGAGGAGGGAAGCTGTGAAAAGGGTGGCTGCTGGAGGAGCTCTCTCTCTCATTCTGTTGTCTCGACTCCCAGCCAGACCTGTGTTTTGTAGAGGCTCCTTTTGTGTTAGAATAGGACCTTGTGTCCACAGCCAAGACAGTACCGGGTTCAGATCTTTTAGATTGGGTGTGTCGCTGTTTAGCGAAGCCTTTTACAGCCAGTTCGCGGAGCTGTCTGCTGTTTAAGGTTCGGGGACAAGCAACGACACCAAGATGATGACTCGTGGTCGGATGGAGGTTTTGAATAAACAAAGTTTTAAAGTTTAGATCTTCCTCCATTTCAGGTTAATTTTGACAACCAAAGTAAGCCTGGCGCAGGCAACTGTAGTATGACTGGGGAGATTCCTGTCTCTCCTGTTTGACTAACAGTGCAGCGGCTAAACCAGTGGGTGTAAGGGAGTCAGAGAACTTGTCAATTAATGCCTGGCACAGCAGGTCATAGTCGTTCTTGACCCGACGGGGTTGTCATTCAATGAAGCTGCTAACCTCTCGATTGGAGGTAGCTTTGATCAAGTAGATTTTGTCATCCACAAGAGCACCTGGAAACTTCCTCAAGTAGAAGTCGATGTCTTTCAAGTAGGTGCTTGGGTCTTCTGAACCTTTACGACCGAGTTCAAATCGTGTGATGTTACGAGCCATTTTGTCAAGATCCCTGTCTGTGGGATATGCCGCTTGACGAGCAGCAGGCGTGGACTGAAGTTGGTAGCTCAGAGATAGCCCTGTGGGGCCGAGAGAGTATTGTGGCCCTTGTGAATGATACCCAGAAGGTGTTGGTTGGGAGAGGGGCGACAAAGTATGACCAGGGTTCCGTCCGGTGTTGTCAGGACTTGATTGACCCGAATGTCCTTTGGGGACACGACTCGGTCGAAAGGTAGGGTATTGGAGCGTCTGTTGATCGCTCGGTGAGCTTCGCCCGCTCTGGTCTTGCTGGGGTTGACCCAGACTAAGTTTTTTCTGAGTCTCTAGGAGCATTTGCTTTAAATTAGCAGAATGTCTCTCTTCTGCTTCGAGGGCCACCCTTTTGCTTTCAAACTGGGCCTTCCAGTCCCTTGCATCAGTTGAGGACTGATCTAGGCTGCTTTTTACTCTTGATAGCTCCTGTAATTGCTCAAGAACTGTTGACTTAGCGTCCAAAAGCTGAGCTTCCTTTTTCTCAATGGTGTCATGCAAGTCTGAGATTTGGGTTACTAAGGAAGGGTCTTGATCAGGTGGGGATGGAGGCTCTGTTTGCATCTCATCCAAACGGTCTCGAGTCTGCTGTAGAGCCCTTTCAGTGCATATGTAGGAGAATCTCCTCATACATTTAGGTTAAGAAATATAGAGTAATTATCTTTTAGTAAGAAGCTACAAATAATCTAGGTTGGCCTGCTCCTGCAGCCCCACGACCCTGAGATTGTAAGCAAGGCTGTCTTGCAGGAGCCCGAACTATCTGTCTGTAGGAACATTTAATCTCTGCAAGGGTCAAGATGAGCCTAAACAAAGTGTCGTGGGGCAGACATGTCATCATGAGGGGCCCTCTGGAGAATTCACACACACTCACACACACACTCACACACACACACACACACACACACACACACACACACACACACACACACACACACACACACCTGTGAGCATAAAAGGGAGTAGAAGAAAAGCTAGGGAGGCTTCCTTCGGTCTTGGTCGAGACTCTGTTTGTCATCTGTACTGATTTCTACATCTGTACAATAAAAGACGCCCAGGCTGTTCTTCAGATCTCATCCTGTCTCCTGTGCATTGTTTATGCTGGATTTTCCACAACACATCCCAGCTCCCCTTTGAGATCATCAATTTCCTTCATTTGTGCGAGCCTTAGCCAGAATTCGTTTTGGGGGACAAGGGACCATGGTTCTGCGAACTTCACGTGGGATAAGGACACTCTGTCGATACAAAAAGAAAAAGGTAGGAGATTTCCTAAAATTTGGTTGAGAGTTCTTTTCCCTGTGAGGTGGTGCAGACTACTGTTCTCTGTCCTCTTCGAATCAAAGAACCTAGAATAGAAATAAGAGGAGACAGTGGGAATGAAGACAGTCTGAATAAAAAACTGCGTGCATGCAGTCAGCTGATCAAAGTGTGCTAAATTTGGGAGAGGAAGCCAATTTAAATTTGATATATATCAGCTGAATATAGGGGAGACTGCAGTTGGTTGTGTGAGACCGCCTCATGCTGCTTTATGTGTGAGACTGTCATATGTGAAGCTAGTAGACTGGGTGCAGAGACGCACTTCGTCTCCTTCAAAGTGTGAGACTGCCTCACGCTGCTATATGTGTGAGACTGTCATATGTGAAGATAGTAGACTGGGTGCAGATGCGCACTTCGTCTCCTTCAATGTGTGAGACCGCCTCACGCTGCTATATGTGTGAGACTGTCATATGTGAAGATAGTAGACTGGGTGCAGAGACGCACTTTGTCTCCTTCAATGTGTGAGACCGCCTCACGCTGCTATATGTGTGAGACTGTCATATGTGAAGCTAATAGACTGGGTGCTATGCGCCATAGGCCAGTAGTTTGGGGAGACAGCCTGGCCCGGGTTGTGATGTGTTTTTAGGCTGAATGCCTGGTGATAAAAGGTTCTGGACAATTGTCGAGATAACAAGGGAAGCGGCAGGCACAAGTGTGTCTGTCCATTGTTGAACTGTAAGTTTTAGGTCATTCTTTTATGAGCTCTGAAAGGTGGTAGCCGACGGACGAGCAGATTCATCTAGTAATATATATGTGGATTTTCTTTCTGGAAAACTCCACTAGAAAGGAGGATTTGTCATGCGGAGTTCCGCTGAGGCTTAAGAAAAAGCCAAAAGGAGAAGAAAAAAGTGGCATATTTCCTCAGAAATTCTGATCCAGACTCTAGAGGGCCGAATAAGTATAATGACGGAATAGTACATATTTGAAATGTACATATATATATATATCTCTTTTATACATTAAAGACCTCACAAAACCAGTGTTATAATTGGACTTAAATTACAGATACAGATTGGCTTGATGAGCAGGAGATAGAAAAAGAGGTCGGTAAGGATAGGCTGAAAGGCCTATTCAGGGATCCAATTGTAGAAAAATCATACAAATTGGAAAAATCAAAACAAGAATCAGAAATAAAAACTGAGGACTGATCCTCAACACAGGAATTGTAGGAATGTTAAAAAGTACAAAACACTTAAATTAATTTAAAGTAAGAGTAAAGAAGGTGAAGACTGCTGACTTTGTGTGTGTGTCTGTTTTGCTCTGTGTCAACTAAGTTCTCTGGCAGTGTTCACAGCCAGACTCTGCATCTGTGTGTTATGTTAGTCAAAGATTGCTGTGTTTTCCTCACTTGTGTTTATTTCATAGTTGTTTATGTGAATACTGTGCTCATTGCAGATATGTTATCAGTTGAGACATAGAAGGTTAAATACTCCTGGGAAAGAGGTTCTGTTCCTAGTACCATGATGAACACTCCTGATATGAAGGTTTTAGCTTATGCTTAAATATTATGGTTTTTTGTTGTTTACACCTGTCTTATGCTCCTTAACAAATTTTGCTATGTTAAAGCTGCTGAAATAATGTTTGTAAAAGTATAAAAGATACAAAAAGGGGAAAAAGCAATGAGGTACCACAAGTGCAAAACTTCTAAAACTTCAAATCTAAGGGTTGCTTCTATACATCTGCTGTTTCTGCCAAAATACTGTGCTTTTTAAATATTATTAAGTGGAAATGCTGTGTCAGCATTTCCACTTATTGTTATTCTACTATTTCTTTATTATTAAGTGGAAATGCTGACACAGCATTTCCACTTATTGTTATTCTACTATTTCTTTATTATTATTAAGTGGAAATGCTGACACAGCATTTCCACTTATTGTTATTCTACTATTTCTTTATTATTAAGTGGAAATGCTGATAGGCATTTCCACTTATTGTTATTCTCCCGTTTCTTTATTATTATTATTATTATTATTAAGTGGAAATGCTGATTAAGCATTTCCACTTATTGTTATTCTCCCGTTTCTTTAATCTTATTATTATTATTTTTATTCTTCCGCCGTTTTTTGTCGCGCTTCTCCTCCTTCAATCTTTGTCCGATTTCAACCATTCAAACTTTAAACTATTCCACTCCTTCAGGACATGTGTGCTATTACTTTTCACTTTTCTACCCTTTATACTTTTTGATTTTTTTAACTTTTTGTGCAAAAATTTTAACATTGAAGTCAATGGGGAAATCTTCCACTTCTTCCTTTTTTTCTTCCACCTTCTAGACCTTATAACTCTAGCATACTTTCACCTAGAGACCTCATTTTTGCTTTAAAATGTTCATTCACTTGTCGACTATTATAGTTGTACTCAGTTTTTTGATATCTTTTACAGTTTTTCCACAATTTAGCTTTAAGCAACTTGTGGTTTTCAGCAAATTTCAAGCTTTATAATGGGTGTGTATTGGAGAGTTTAGAGTGATGATGTCATCAGCTAGAGTGCAGACCTCGTCTCTGATCGACAGAACCTCGCTCGAATATATCGCTCCCACGCCCACAAATCTCACTCCACTGACACAAAAAATACATCAAAATGGAGGTATATGTGTCCTGCTTCTCACTAATGAGGTTTCAAATCATTAACTCGTACCCCTTGGCCAGCAGGTGACCAACTGTCCAAATAGGCGCAAATCTCTCCCCATTGGCCCTAATGTTATTTTTCTCCAAGAAAATCCGGATCATCACTCAGGCTCAGACTTTTTTAACTCGCTGTTGTGGCCTCATTTTTCGAAGTACAGAAATGAAAAACACATCATTGTGTTCATGAAGGACGGAGGATTCGTACGATGTTCTTATTTTCATTCTGGGACTTAAGGAAATCACGCTATGTGAAGAAGTTCACAGGCTATAAATCCTCAGCAGTTCAGCTGCTTCTCATTCAAACAGTAGGTCAGTGATTTGCCTTTGATCTCACAGCTGTTAGGGATGCAGTCATTAATGAGACACACACACACACACACACACACACACACACACACACACACATTCTTGTACTTGTTGCTTTTTGAGGTCCACCTTGCAGTTCAGCTGCTTGTACACACAGTTAATATGTGTCTGCTTCACCACCTATCTCCACCCACAAACTTTGAGCTACAGAAACCATTCTGGGCTTCAAAAATTCAGCTCATTGAAGATATTATGGGGTGTTTTGAGGATTGTGATAATAAATTGTATTAATGTGTTCAGCAAAATCTTGTGTTCTCACAAGCTCCTTATCATGAATATATACAGAGGATGAGCGTCAGGGCCTACTTGGAGTCCTGTTTCCTTAGCTTCAAGCCTTCTTTCTCCTGCTAAAGTTATGCATCCAAGGTCCCCATAGCAACCAATTTGTGCACCTGGAGACACACAGCTGACTGGAAAGCTGCTTCTATGGGCCATATGAGACACATGAAGCCAGGCTCAGTACACATAGCACTGGGGATGACACTTAAAACCCTTTCCTAGAGTGCTTGAAAAAACCTAAGCCCCTATCTCCTCACATGACCTTTGACCTACAGAAACCATTCAGGGCTTTGAAATTTAAGCTCATTGAGGACATTATGGGGTGTTTACTACTTTGACTCATTCTTCTTTTATTCTCAAACTACTTCTACTGCGGACATGACTACTAGTATCACTACTTGACTTCTTATCATACTACTTCTCGTACTACAACTTAAACTTATGCCACTTCTCACCTTCCTGCCTTTAAAGGCAATTTCCTTCTTCATTCAAACTTTGTGCAATTTAGACATTTTTCTAGCCTCTTTCAGCATGAATAAAATTTCCTTTTATAGAGCAGATTCAGACGATTTGTCCTTCGACCAATTAAACAATTATCTAACGTATATTTCTTTATCACCCCTTCAACAGCTTTAACATTTATACCTTTCTCCATGTTTTATTAGCAGTTTAGCATTGCTTTTTCAGCTTTCAGCACTCAGCATTTCCACGCATTTTCTGCAAGGAAATGCAATTTTTCTAGTCTTATTATTATTATTCTTCCGCCGTTTTTTGTCACGCTTCTCCTCCTTCAAACTTTGTCCGATTTCAACCATTCAAACTTTAAACTATTCCACTCCTTCAGGACATGTGTGCTATTACTTTTCACTTTTCTACCCTTTATACTTTTTGTTTTTTTTAACTTTTTGTGCAAAAATTTTAACATTGAAGTCAATGGGGAAATCTTCCACTTCTTCCTTTTTTTCTTCCACCTTCTAGACC